AGGGCCACCCTGCGTGGCTGACTGTGTGACAGCTGATGGCCATGTGATACCGGTGTGCCCTTCCCATCCGGGCTCGCAAGCACAGCCTAGGGCTGATCGTGCCGGCTTGGGTTGCACAGTCCTTCAGCAACACGCTGAGTGTGGGTGGTGTTTACCACAAAGCAGTTTCTTGTCTTCTTCAAAATACAGGAAAGTCTCTAGGAAGTGGTAGATGGCTCTTGCATGGGACCATAATAACTTTTAGCATCATGACACTCACTGGGGACAAAAACCAACTGCGTAAAAAGCTGATTTAGCCAGCCACCGTGGCTCACACCTGTTATCCTAGCACTTTGAGAGGCTGAGACGGGAGGATCACTTGAGCCCAAGAGTCTGAGAGCAGACTGGGCAACATAGCAAGACCTCATCTCTACAAAAAGTAAAAAAAAAGTAGTCAGCCATGGTGGTACACACCTGAGGAGTAGTCCCAGCTCCTCAGGAGGCTGAGGTGGGAGGATCACCTGACCCAGCAGGTCGAGGCTGTGGTGAACCATGATCATGCCACTGCCCTCCAGCCTGCGGGACACAGTGAGATTTCAGCTCAAGTAAAAAGCATCACGGATTTCTTCTCTTTCACTTCTAGAAGTCAGAAATCTACAATGGGCCTTGTGGGCTGACCTCGTAGTGGCAGCAGGGCTGAATTCTTTGGAGGCTCTGGGGAAGGTTGCTTTCTTGTCTTCTCCAACCTTTAGAGCTGCCTGTGTCCCTTGGCCCATGGCCCCTGCCTCTTCCTTTCCTTCATGGTTTCATTGGGCCAACCCAGAGAGTCCAGGATGGCGGCGTCCCCAACTCAAGTTCCTTCTGCAAAGTCCCTTCTGCCCCATGAGGCAGCATGCTGGTGGGTTCCAGGAATGGGGGGGGTCATTATTCTGCCTCCCCCAGAGCCTTCTGGAGAGGCCCGTGCTGGAGAGACCAGCAGGTGGAAGAGCTGCGAGTGGTATTTGCCATTCTTGCCGAATCCGAATGAGATTAGACCAGCCTTGCATTTCATCCTGCACCGAGGGTGCTGCTCAGCTGTTCTGTGCTCTGGGCCTGAAAGAAAGGCCTCACTGCCTCTTCCCGACCTTCATGTTGGGGTCTCTGGCTGTTTTAGGGCAACTCAGGCTCCATCTCACAGGGATGACAGGAAACACACAGAGCTCCTGACCTCCGCCGTAAGCCAAGGGTGCTCTTGTTTTATCCGGGAAGCAGATGAAGCCTTTGGAAGGTTCCTTACTGACCTCACCCCCCAGACTTCCGCCTCCCTAATCTATGAGCTGTTACCTGGGAGAAAACAGGAAGAGGCTGAAGCCTGAGGTGGCTGAGTTTTTCCTCGGGGAGGAAGTGGGCTCCAGATGATTCACATGAATCACCTTCCTCTGAGCCAGAAGAAAATGAAGATTAATAATCATAATTTATCAAAGATGAACTGAAGGGCCGCATAGGAAAGAACAGAGGACACAGAACTGAGGGTTCCTAGGAATGCTTGGTTGTTTCTTGACTGGGGCCTGCTCCCTCCTCCCTCTTGGTAGCCTTGGGACGGTTATACCAGTGCAGGCCGGACGTGGTGGCTCACGCCTGTCATTCTAGCACTTCGGGAGGCCGAGGCGGAGGGACTGCTTGAGCCCAGGAGTTCAAGACCAACCTGGCCAACACAGCAAGACCTCATCTCTACAAAAAAATTTTAAAACTTAGCTGGGCTCGGTGGCATGTGTCTGTAGTCCCAGCTCCTCGGGAGGCCAAGGCGGGAGGATCGTCTGAGCCCAGGAGGTTGAATCTGTGGTGGTCTGTGATTGTGCCACTGCACTCCAGCCTGGGTGACAGAGCGAGACCCCCGACCCAAACAAAAACCAAAACATACACCTGTAGGCCTGCCAGCCATCAGGGAGAGGACAACAGCTCTGGAAACTGGTGTCAGAGAACGTCAGAGCCAGAAAGGGACCTTGGAGATGGTGTTTTTTGACCCCATCACTTAAAGATGAGGTTAAACTCCATGCCTGAGATTGTGTAGCCCAGGGAACTTAGGGCTGAGACTTGAATTTGGGTTGCCTGAATCTCAGTCCATCATCCTCTGGCTGCTCCTGTTTGTGTCTTGGAATAGGGGTCCCCGATCCGTCCGTGGCCTGTTAGGAATTGGCCGCACAGCAGGAGGTGAGCAGCGGGCGAGTGAAGCTTCATCTGTATTCCATCGCTTGCATTACCGCCTGAGCTCTGCCTTCTGTCAGGCCAGGAGAGGCATTAGATCCTCATAGGCACATGAACCCTATTGTGAACTGTGTGTGCAAGGGATCCAGGTTACTGCTCCTTCTAAGAATCGAATGCCCGATGATCCGAGGTGGAGCTGCGGCGGTGATGCTAGCGCTGGGGAGCAACTGCAAGTACAGATGAACATTAGCGGTGAGGTTGGACTGCACATCCCCCTCCCCCCGGGCCCTTGGGAAAACTCGTGTCTTCTACAAAACTGGTCCCTGATACCAAAAAGGTTGGGGACTGCTGTCTTAGAGGACAGACTCAGTTGAGGCCTGTATGGTAACTACTAAAGGTAGGACATACCAAGCTCTTATTCTCTGTGGTCCAGAATTGAAACACCATGAGCAATTAGGCAAACCAGCCCCATCCCAGGGCCTGGGGGCCAGTGGGCCAGGCAGGCTGCACAGAGCTGGACCGTGGGAGCAGGCAGGCAAGCGCTGGATGGTGCGGGGGGACCAGGGATCACCAAGTGAGGGAAGATGCCACAGCAGAAGGACACAGAGATCCATGTGTCCTGGAGCCAAGGGGAGGGGAGGGTGCCTCAGTGAGAGGAACGTGCTAGAACATTGGCAGGACGCAGTCTGGAACTCTGAAAATTCAGATGGAGATTTTTGGGTGACTACAGGAACTTTGGGGAGATTTGACCTCAGGAAAGTGGTGGTCTCGCATGGAAGTTAGAGAAGGAGAGATGCATGTAGAGAGACAGTATGTCACCACATGACCCATTGGGGCGAAGGTCGCTGCGGGGGGGGAGGTGGAAGCAGGGTGTCACCAGAGTAGGATCACAGAAGTGAGGCCTTCTTGTCTAAGCAGTGTGTGGCCCCCATGGTGGTTGGGGCCCGTGGTAAGGTTTAGGAACATGGTGTGGAGAAGACATACTCCACCCAATGTTGCGACCCAGCACCTTGACTCCCCACCCCTCAGCCCAACCATGGACCCTGCCCAGGCCTGACAGGGGGCAGGATACTGTCTACAGATAGAACTACAGATGAACTTATTTTTAAATTATGTTTCTTTTTTTTGAGCCAAGATCTCTGTTGCCCAGGCTGGGGTGCAGTGGCACACTCACAGCCACCCCAGCGTCCACCTGCCGGACTCTAGTGATCCTTCCACCTCAGCCTTCCAAGTAGCCCGAACTACAGGCACTCACTATCACACCTGGCTAATTTTTTATTTATTGTAGAGACGAGGTCTCACCAAGTTGCCTGGGCGGATCTCAAACCCGCGGTCTCGGGCAGTCCACTCATCTCGACCTTCCAAAATGCTGGGATTACAGGCTGAGCCACTGAGCCCGGCCCAGGCTGTTTTTAAATAGCCTCTGTCCTCCAGGGTAGTGGGGAGACATTTCATGGTGTCACATGATTCTTTTGAAGCCAAGGAATGTCACCGTCAGTGTCCTTTTTATCAGGAGAACAAATGCTGAGCCTAGCATGCGCCCACGGTGCACGATGTGTATGACACACACAACGTACACTAGTGCCCTGGGAGCTGGAGGCCTCTGAAAGGATCTGGGTCCGCGGCATCTCCCGGCATCCCCGTGGGCCCGTGGTGGCTGTCAGCCTTCTGAACTGGCAGCGACTGGGCCACCCTCTGCGTGTGTCTGCTTGTAGGAGCCACTGTCTGCTTCTGCCACCCACTGCCGTGTTGTCGCATCTCATGCAGCCATACCCTGCTCAGGCTTTCTGTGTTTTCACCATCATATTTGTTCCTGCATTATATAGGATGGTTCTGTGAAATCCTGCCTTCACCCCGGCTGGTGGAGACCCCAGAAGTGCCACACACCGGGCATGGAGAACATTTTAGTCATTGGACTCTGAAATGGACTTTTTTTTTTTTTGAGTCGGATCTTACTCTGTCACCCAGGCTGGAGTGCAGTGGCACACTCACAGCCACCATAGCCTCGACCTGCTGGGCTCCAGTTCCACGTAGCTGGAACGACAAACACGCTCCACCACGCCCAGCTAACTTTTTTTTCTTTTTTTTTTTCACTTATTGTAGAGACGAGGTCTCCCCAAGTTGCCCAGCCTGGTCTCAAACCTGTGGGCTCAAGGCAATCCTCTCACCTCCACCTCCCAAAGTGCTGGGATTACTGGTGTAAGCCACTGCACCCAGCTGATATTAATCTTGATCACTTGGTTAAACTGGTGTCCACCTAGAATAAAATGACTGTCTCTTCTTTTGTACTGATAAATGTCTTGGACAAGATGCCTTGAGGGTATGCAAATATCCTGTTTCTCCTCAAATTTTTTTTTTGGTTGGTGTCTCACTCTTGTCCACCCAGGCTAGAGTGCAGTGGCACACTCCCAGCCACTGCAGCCTTGATCTGCTGGGCTCAGGCGAACCTTCTGCCTCAGCCTTCCAAGTAGCTGGATCTATAGACGGGCCACCAAGCCTGGCTAACTTTATTTTATTTTTTAAATTATAGAGTCAAGGTCTTGCCGAGTTTCTCAGGCTGGTCTCGAACCCATGAGCTCAGGCAGTCCTCCTGCCTTGGCCTCCCAAAGTGCTGGAATTATAGGCGTGAACCACTTCGCCTGGCCGATATGGGTTTTCGATACTCATGGAGCTGTGCTCCGGTGGAGGCAGCCATTGAAGTGTCACATTTCTGGCTTATCGCATCCACCCCAGTGACCACCAACACACTGACTGCCGAGTCCGTGACCTTCACCGCTGGCGTATGTGTCGGTGGGCAGCTCCTCCTTCTAACGGGCTGATGTATTTTGTCTGTGCAGGGATTTTGCTTACGTAGCGAGAGACAAAGATACAAGAATTTTAAAATGTCATGTATTTCGATGTGACACGCCAGCAAAAGCCATTGCCACAAGTCTCCACGAAATCTGTTCCAAGGTAAGAGGGTTCGGGCACAGGGGGCCACCTGTACCTTTTTTCTCATGCCATGGGGTAAGGGAGGGGAAGAGAGGGGGCATCCATGCACACTGAGCTAGGGGGATCAGGCAGGGGGTGCAGCCAGCGTGGTGCGAGGATTCTTGTTGCGTGCCAGGTGTGCGCTCGGGGTGGCGCTCAGCCTGCAGAAGAGGGAACTGCAGCCCCTCCCACAGCCAGGGATACAGGTATGGATGACATGAGGGGGACCCAAAAAAAGGAATTTATGTATAAAAAATTGTGTGTCTATTCTTACATGTTCAAACTTCAGTCACCTTCAGAGTGTTCTCTGTTGAATGCAGTGTACCTATTGAGATACTTTTTCCACTGTTGAGAACAGTTTTGAACCCGTCCATGTTGATGCCTTTTAGTGCTTCTGCTGTTTTTTGTTTCACCTCTTCCACATCGGCAAATTATTTTGCTTTGAGGGCTTTTTTCATCTGGGGAAACGGAAAAAAGTCACTCGGGGCAATATCGGGTGAATAGGGAGAGTGGGGCATGGAAGTCACGACCTTTTCGGTCAAAAACTACTGACCACTCGGTGCAGTGCGGCAGGTCCGCCCATAAATCACCCATCACGCATGGGCAAATGTGTTCAAAGAATCTTGAAAAAAAAATTCACTGAAGCCAAATGCAGCCTCTCATGACAACGTTGCTAGAACAGTTACCTAGTGGGGGAAGCCTGTGCTACAAGGGGCCTGCCCTCCAAAAACTAATCCTGTTTATTTGAGTCCCCCTCGTCTATATAAGAGGTGGTGAGACCACAGGGGAGACCTGAACACCAGAGCAGGCAGATTTTCTGGGGGTGGGGCTTCCTGGTCTGAGGCTAAGCCCTGGGTAAGAGGCCTGAGGCCAGAGAACTGGGAGCCACTAGGGTATCTGGACATGCAGGCAGCGGGGGTGGCCCTCGGCATACCCCAGCCTCGTGAGGACGCACAGTGCTGGTGGGCACACTCTGCGGTCACTGTGTCATACTGGGGAGGGTCCCAGAGCCTCACTGAGAACAGTCCGGCATCGCCAGTCCAGCCTCGCTCCTTGTAGCACATGATTCCCTGTCAGAGCCCCATCCGTGGACATCTGTTGACTCCCAGAGGTGAGATGCTCCCAGAGGTGGTGGCCCGCCAGACCTCAGGGCACTGGCACAAGCTTTTTCCAGCCAGGCCTTTTGTTGCCTGAACGTGTTTAATTTGTTGACTCTAAACACGTGCTGGGTGTGGTGGCTTATGTCTGTCATCTGAGCACTTTGAGAGGCTGAGGTGGGAGGATCGTGTGAGCCCAAGAGTTCAAGACTAGCCTGGGCAACATAGCGAGACCTCGTCTCTACAAAAAAAATTTTAAGAACTAGCCAGGTGTGGTGGCGTGCACCTGTAATCCCAGCTATTTAGGGGGCTGGGGTGGAAAGATTGCCTGAGCCCAGGAGGTTGAGGCTGCAATGAGCTGCGATCATGCCACTGCACTTCATCCTGGGTGACAGAGTGAGACCCTGACCCAATACAATAGTAATAGCAAAATAGATGCAGGATTTTGTCATCACCGCTGTCGAATGTCACTCTCTGATTCAGACAGACAGCATGGCCCAGCCTTGTCCCCACGATGCCTCCTGAGCTGGCAAGACCTAGCCCAGGCCTCAGGATGGCCCAGCCTGTTGTCCGAGTGGCAGGAATGGAGCAGGTGCAAGCCATGGTGCCTGATGGAGGGATAGGCACAGGGATGGAGTGCCATCTCCATCACCATAACCAAAGAGCCTCTGCCCACTGCTCTGACCTATGTGACCAATGTGCAGGATGGGTGGTTTGTTCTGGCATTGATGGGTCAGGGCATGGCGGTGCCACTTACAGCGTTTCCATGTGCCCTGTGGGTCTCATCTCTCATTCATGCAAAAGATGCCACTGGACGCCTCCAGGTACCAAGCACTGTCCCGGGCACTGGGGAAGCATGACCAGCCCCTGGGGAGCTGGTGTTCCAAGCAGGCATGTCCAACCCAGGCCCAGGGCAGCTAGTCATGCGGCCCCACAAGATCCTTTAACATCCTGTGTTTCCAGCATTTATTTTTTCCATGACCCTATGCGTGGCTCCATTTCTAAAGTTCACAATCACGCCTTATTTATGACATCACTTTTTGGCAGCGCATACATTTGTGAACAGCTGTTTTCAATGATGAAACACAGGAAGAGCAAAATGCAAACAGACATTTCTGACGAGCACCTTGAGAACTCACCGAGAATTGCAACCATGTCTATCAAACCAGACATGGATAGATTAGTTTTGCAAAATCAAGACCAAATTTCCCACTAGTTTTATATTATTCTCGTTTTTCTAAACTTTATAGTAAAAAATATTTAAAAATGAAAGAAATCTTATTATGTATTTACACTGATGATACTACGTAATTCATGTCAGCCCCAAACAAGTCCTCTTTACCTGAGGAGGCCCAGGGAAGCCAAGAGACTGGGCACCCTCAGGCCCTCGGAGCACGGCTGGCACAGAGTGTACAGGAAATACTCTCACCTGCGGCCCCGGTCACAGACCCAGAGGGAGGCAGTGTGCAGGTCAGTGGAGGTGACTTACTCCATGCAGAACGGAGGCATGAGTTACTTTTGGGGTCACTGCAGGATGGGCTTCTTTCAGCCCCAACCCAGGTGGAAAACAGGCGTGCAAAGTGATGACTCTTGAGAAAAGCAGGTGCCAGCATCCCTTAATGAAGGGAGGTGGTGGGAACAACTTGAGAACGACAGCGACCATCACGGGGGGGACACAGCCCGGGCCATGCACTGGCAGGGCCTGTCAGTACGTGACACGCTCACTCGCGTGATCCTCAGAGATGTCCTCTGACATAAACACTTCCATCCCGTGTGCCGTCAGGGGCATGAGATGGGAGGTCAGACAACTTAGTCACATGACCAGATGTGGCAGAGATGCCCTTGAACCCCTGTGCTCTGTCTCCAAAGCCCGACAGGAATATCTGAAAATCGGCATCTGGGGGCACTGGCGACATCATGGCCTTGTTTTCCGGTGACTTCCGTGGGCCAGCAGGGACTTGCATAACCAGGGGTGTGTGTTCAGGTTGTCTTTAGGAGAGGTGGGAACCTGGTGAACGAAACAAGTACATTCCAAACAGTCAGAACATGGTGGCTGTGAGGAATGAGTGAAATTCTCAATCGTACAGGCCAGGCATGGTGGCTCACCACTGTAATCCCAGCATTTGGGGAGACTGAGGCAAGAGAATTGCGTGAATCCACAGGTTCGAGACCAGCCTGGGCAACATGGTGAGACTTTGTCTCTATAATAAATAAATTTTAAAAAATTATCCAGGTGTGGTGGCGCATGCCTGTAATTCCAGCTACTTGGAGGGCTGAGGCAGGATTGCTTGGGCCCAGCAGGTCGAGGCTGAGTTGGCCGTAGCATACCACTGCACTCCAGCCTGGGTGACAGAGTGAGATTCTGACTAAAAAAAAATATATATTAGCTGGGTAGGGTGGCTGGGTGTGCCTGCAGTCCCAGCTACTTGGGAGGCTAAGGCGGGAGGATTGCCTGAACCCAGGAGGTCATGGCTGTGGTGAGCTGTGATCATGCCACTGCACTCCAGCCTGGGTGACAGAGTGAGACGCCAACTAAAAAAAAAAAAAAGTTCTGCAATACATGTAACCTTGAGATGGGCTGGGACACCAGGTAGCAGCTCAAGTTGGTTTCACCAGAAGTGAAGCCAACCCAGACATGGCAGCCAGTGTGGCCGACAGCTTGGGACTCATGACTCGTAACCATAACCCAAGCTGCATTCTCTCTTCCTTAGATTATGGCGGAACGGAAGAATGCCAAAGCCCTGGCCTGTAGCTCCTTACAGGACAGAGCCAACGTGAACCTCGACGTTCCTCTTCAAGGTAGGCGGGCTGTGTCCTTCGCCATCGTGGCACCGTCCGTCCGTCCTCATCAGGGCTGGAGCATGCCGCGTGGACCCCTGGTGTCTCTGATCTCCTCAAAAAGCACACTCAATGCAGCCGACATGGGCTGATCATGTTCTCTAGGTCCTGTGGTCGCACAAGTTGGATTTTGGGGTTAGGCACAACAGGGCCAGGGTGAGTTTTGTTGTTACTGGACAGGGTGAAAGAATATTCTCTCTAGCAGCTTTGGCTGGGTGTGGCGGCTCACGCCTGTAATCCCAGCGCTTTGGGAGGCTGAGGGAGGAGTATTGCTTAAGCCAAGGAGTTCGAGACCAGCAGCAAGACCCTATCTCTATAAAAAATGAGTCAAGCGTGGTGGTGTACTCCTGTATTCCCGGCTACTCAAGTGAGAGGATTACTGGAGCCCAGGAGTTCTAGGCTGTGGTAAGCTGTAATCATGCCACTGCACTTCAGCCTGAGCAGCAAAGTAAAGCCCTGTCGCAAAATTTAAAAATAAAAAAAATTGTAAGTCATGTTCAACCCGGCATAAGGATCCCAGCTAGTTTACAGATATGTGGGTTGATCTTGGAGGGGTTCGTTAGTTGTTTTTCCTGTGTTTCTGACATTTTCTCCAGCATCGACCATGCCTAATAGGTAGGACATGGCCAGGCACAGTGGCGCATGCCTGTAATCCCAGCACTTTGGGAAGCCAAAGAAGGAGAATTACCTGAGCCCAGGAGTTCAAGACCCACCTGGGCAACTTAGCAAAACCACCTCATCTCCATAAAAAATGAAAAAAATTAGCCAGGAGTGGCGACATGTGCCTGTAATCCTAGCTACTCAAGGGGCTGAAACAGGAGGATCGCCTGAGCCTAGGAGGTCAAGGCTGTGGCAAGCCATGATCGTGCCCCAACACTCCAGCCTGGGTGACAGAGGGCGATTCCCCCTCAAAAACATACAAGAAACTCTGCTACTTAACGCACATCGAAGAGACTGGTGCAGCCTCACCCCATGGGTTCCATGTCTTGCTTTCACACGCTCCCCACCTTGAAAGGGAAGCAGGGTGGGATTTTGACCCATGGGTCCCGAGGTCTGGAGTCAGAGTTGCTGCTCTTACAGTTGCCACACTGACACCCGGAAACAGACACGATGGCCCTGAGGTGTTTGAGCAGTTCCAAGCCTTCCGGAGGTCTGAGCTGTGGCTAGGTTCACGTGTGTGTTGAAACCACTGAGAACGATGTGCTGTTTTGTTTCCTACAGTAGACTTTCCAACACCAAAGACGGAGCTGGTCCAGAGGTTCCACGTGCAGTACTTGGGCATGTTGCCTGTGGACAGGCCTGTCGGTATGTGAGACGCGTCCTGTCTTCCCATGGGGCAGGTGTCCGGGAGCTCGTGGGAGGACGAGATCCACTGTTTCTCTTGTCTTTCCCCCGCTGTTGAGTCGCCTCCACACTGTCACCAGCCCGAGAACATGAGCTGCCCTGATCCAAAGAGCCACGGAGGGCTAGGAGCCATGTCTCACGCCTGTAATCCTAGCACTTTGGGAGGCTGAGGCAGAGACGGCTTGAGCCCATGAGTTCAAGACCAACCTAGGCAACATAGCAAGCCCTTGCCGCAACAAAATAGTAGCCAGGCATGGTGGTATATACCTGAAGTCCCAGCTACTCGGAAGGCTAAGGTGGGAGGGTTGCCTGAGCCCAGGAGGTCAAGGCTGCAGTGAGCCATGATTGTGCCCCTGCCCTCCAGCCTGGGGGACAGAGGGAAACCCTGACTCAAAAAAAGAAAGGCTGGGCACAGTGGCTCGCGCCTATAATCCCAGCACTTTGGGAGACTGAGGGGAGAGGAGTGCCTGAGCCAAGGAGTTCAAGACCAGCCTGGGCAACTTGGTGAGACCTCATGTCTACAAAAAAATAAAAAAAACCAGGTGTGGTGGCGCACACCTGTAGTTCTAGCTACTTGGAAGGCTGAAGCGGAAGGATCGCCTGAGCCCAGCAGGTTGAGGCTGCAGTGGCTGTGAGTGTGCCACTGCACTCCAGCCTGGGCGACAGAGTGTAACTCCCACTCAAAAAAAAAAGCCATAGAGGACCGGCCAAGCTGCTTGGGCATGTGACCCCCCAGACTGTAGGAACTTTAACAAGATTCTTGTTTACCTGCTAGCCCAGAGGTGTGCAGTGCTCTACAGTTCTCCAAGATCCTCCTGCTTGAGCCAGGACACCTGCTTCATTTCTTTGTCAGCCGGAAGGGTGAGAGAAGGTGCTGAGGGATCCCTCACTCACACCTTCCTCTTAAAGTGTGACCCAGAATGCTGGGACCCACGAGAGGGCAGCTGTACCCTTGCAGCAGAGCTCAGGTGCTTGGCTGCGCTGGGCTGAGAGGAGCCTGGGAGGTGCCACCTTCACCTGGGCTGGCAAAGGCTCTGGAGACGTCAGATCCCTGTGCATGGCTGCAGGGTGGGACGTGGAGCAGCTGCCTTGGAAAACAGCCTGGCATTGCTACAGGAAGAGAAGCGTGTACCCTCAACCCCACAATTCTGCCCCAGGCATGTCTCTAAGAGAAATGGCAGCATCTCTACACAGAAACATGCACACACATGTTCACAGCAGAGTTGTCCCCGATAGTCAAAGGGTGGAGACAACCCCAGTGTCCATCCATGGATTGTGATACTTTCATACAAGGGATTGTATTTGGCAATATAAGGAGTGAGGCACTGAAACACAGACCTTGAAAACATTATGCCCTGTGACAGAAGCCAGTCCCAAAAGACCGCATCCTGATGGCTCCTGGTACATGAAATGTCCCGAGCAGGAAAGCCTCTGCCTGGTGCCAGGGGCTGGGGACATGGAGGTGACTCCTGCCACACACGGGGCTTCTCTCTGGGGTGCTGAACACATCCTAACATGATGGTGGTGGTACTAGAAAGCACTGGGTCGTACACTTTCCATGAGCGAATTGTGTGTGAATTACAGCTCATCAATTTGTCACTCCTGCCCCTTGCTGCCCCCCCGAAGCCTGTGGGGACATCCAGCAGAAGGGCCCCCCTGAGTGGCACCACCTGGTCGCTTAAAGGTGCCGCTGGGGGGAGATGGAGAAGGAGAGGGGAGAGAAAGCTAGAGTTGAGGGAGTGAAAGTTTGAGAGAGGGGAGGGAGGGAGGGAGGGAATGGGGGGGAAGAGGGAGGGAGAGGGCGAGAGGTGGAGGGGAAAGACAAAGCGAGCCGGAAAGACTGCTAGAGATTGAGGAAGCAGAGAGAGGTGGGGTAAGGACAGGGAGGGAGGGAGGCCCTGTGCAGAAGTGGAGGGGAGGCCAGGAGCCCGGAGAGAGAGGGCCAGAGATGGAGAGAGGAGGAAGCCAGAGGCTGCTCGATTGAGAGGTGGGGGCGGAGACAGGAAGGGAGGGAAAGAGAAAGGGAGGGAATGGGGGAGAGAAATTCAGAGAGAGAAACAGCTAGAGATTGAGAGAGAGGTCGGGGAGGGAGGAAGGGGGGATGGAGGAGGGGAGAGTAGAGAGAAGCGGAAACTGAAGCCGTGGTGTGGTGACACCGGGCGCACCATGGTCCCTGGAGGTCCTCAGAGCTTCTTTCTGCTGGAAAGCTGGCGTTTCTTTTCTTTCGGACAAACATGAGAATGGAGTGCCTTGCCTTCAGGGACTCCAGAAACAAGATTGGTCTTGGGGTGGCTGTGCTGGGGACTTGGGCCCACACTCGCGTGTGACACGGGCTTTAGGCCTTCCTCAATCATCCTCTCTGTCCCTAGGAATGGACACCCTGAACAGTGCCATAGAGAGTCTGATGGCCTCATCCAGCCAGAAGGATTGGCCGTCGGTGAACATGAATGTGGCTGACGCCACTGTGACCGTCATCAGTGAGAAGGTGAGGTGAATTCGCCAGTGGCGTTGACCTGTCCGGATCCCAGTGAGGTTTGGGACACACCATCTTCTGGGAACCTTAGAAACATAGCCAAGGCTTGACCCCTTGGGAGTGGTGCTTAACACCGCCTATATTTTTTAAGAAAAACACTGGCCAGGCTCAGTGGCTTAGCCTGTAATCCTAGCGCTTTGGGAGGCCTAGGTGAGTGGATTGCCTGAGCCCGCGGGTTCGAGACCCACCTGGGCAACTTGGCGAGATCTCATCTCTACAATAAATCAAAAACTAGCTGGGTGTGGCAGCATGCACCTGTAGTTCTGGCCACCTGGAAGGCTGAGGCGAAATGATTGCCATCCCAGCAGGTCGAGGCTGCGGTGGCCGGGAACATGTCATTGCACTCCAGTCTGGGTGACTGAGTGAGACTCCAACTTAAAAAGAAAAAAAGAAAATATTCTGCCCATTGTCTGGGTCCAAATCCATGCGTTCCTCTGCCTTTCTCTGGACCCAGAAGCTTCTGTGCTGTTGCCCTGGGTCTCCCTCCTCTGCCCCAGAGAATAAGCCTGTTTGCTGCAGGAGACTGGGACACTAGCCTCAGCCTATGGGTGGGGCCACTTGGGGGGCCATGTTGCCTGGGCCGTTGTCTGGGGTGGGCACAGAAAACGCTTCTGGAAGGAAAAGTCCTGTGCTTTGTTTGGTCAGTAGTAGAAGGGGCCATGTTACCCTTACCCAAGTGATCCTGGTTTTGTGGCCAAGGAAACTGGGGGCACAGAGAGGTCACCCCATCACACAGTTGGAAGGAGCGGGGTCAGGATTCGAATCCAGGCAGTCTGGCTCCTGACCCTTTGCCGCCTTGATGTGAAGCACCCATCATAGAAAGACCCCACATCCTAGGCCTGCTTCCGCTGCGGATCACCCTCGAGCACAGTTTACCCTAAGAAGAGAAGCAGGGTGCTCACTGCCCAGTCCCTACTGCCCATGCTGGGCGCAGTTCTTCAAGCATGCCATGCTCTTTCCGCCACCCCCTTGCCTACCAGCCCTTAACCCGATCTCAACTCCACATCTTTTCTCCCAAGAAAACCTCCCACCCTCCCAGACGGGCACAGCTGGCGGGTCACACACTCCATGGTGCCCAAGCGAGTGCTGAGTAAGTCCCGATGGGAATGACCCAAGATCCCCCATTCTGGGAGTATTTATTCACTCAGAAATTGCATATGGCTGCTGCAAAGGATGCGGTGTTCGTAACCACAAGGAGGAAGCCGAACGATCCTCTCCACTGCCCCATATGGGAACCACATGCCAGTGGTTTGCAAAAAAGAAAAAAAAAAGATGAGATGATGACTTTGTGTTGGTTTGGCGACTTGGTGTTTTACGTAGTTTTAGATTAGCCGTGCTTTTAGTGCAGGTAAAGATTTGTGATGCTTTTCTTGGTGCTAGGGGTTCCCTTGAGCAACTGAGCTGTGAGCCCCAGATGTCCCAAATCGGGCGGGATATAAGAAGTGTGTGTGGGCTGGGTATGGTGGCTTATACCTATAATCCCAGCACTTTGGGAGGCTGAGGTGAGAGGGTTACCTGAGCCCACGGGTTCAAGACCAGCCTGGGCAGCTTGGCGAGACCTCATCTCTATAATAAATCAAAAAATCAGCCGGGCGTGGTAGCACATGCCTGTAATTCGGCTACTCGGAAGACTGAGGCGGAAGGATCGCCAGAGCCCAGCAGGTCGAGGCTGCGGTGGCTGGGAGCAGCCACTGCCCTCCAGTCTGGGCGACAGAGTGAGACTCCCACTCAAAAAACAAGTGTGCATGACATTGTTCCTCCTGCAGCAAGCTCAGACCCATGGGCTGAGAGGCAGAGAGGACACACAGCACACCCCACGACAGCAGGGTAGCTAAGAGCAAGGAGGCACTTCAGATGGGGGGCGGCCTCTCCAGCCACAGGCGAGGCTCTTTGCCCTTCTAGGGAGACGCACGTCCTTTCTGGACTTGGTCTGGCCAAAGTCTTCAGTGTCAGGTCCCACATGCTGACCCAGAGCCTGAGGGTGTGGTGGCCTGACTCTGTGCTGACCGCTGTTTCTTGCAGGACGAGGAGGAAGTCTTAGTGGAGTGCCGCGTGCGGTTCCTGTCCTTCATGGGCGTCGGGAAGGACGCCCACACATTTGCCTTCATCATGGACACGGGGAGCCAGCGCTTTGAGTGCCACGTGTTCTGGTGCGAGCCCAACGCCGGGAACGTGTCGGAGGCCGTCCAGGCCGCCTGCATGGTGAGTGGCCCCGGCGGCGAGTCTGTGGCCTCCCATCTCCACCACTCCAGAGGCCACGTATTCCAGCAGGGTTACTCGCTGGGAAAGCCTAAACACCAAGGTCATGCGTCTAACTTGATCCCACCCTCATTCCCGGGGTCGGCGTCCTCTATGACAAGTGGAGCACATCTCAGAAGGCCAGGACTCCTGAGGCCGGACGGCGGCTTCGGCATCACTGAAAAGTGTGTTCTCAGAGCCGCAGATCTGAGGCTGGAGAGACCTGATCCCAAATTAGTTTGTCTGTGACTGGGAAATGGTTGTGCATGAATGGATTGGTACCTCTAGAATTCAGCTCAGTGCTTCTGAAACAAAAATATGTAAGAGAAATCATGTATATTTTTATTTCACATAGTTTAAGTGCCTGGTTCTTAGATACTTTGTATCTGTGATCTCAGTTACTGAGGGCCAGCCCCCGCAGAGAGATTTAGGGGGTCCCTTGGAAGGTGTGGCAGCATTGGTGCTTATTCTGGAGAGATAAAGAGAAAGAAAGAGAAGAGGGGAGAAAGAAAGAGACTGGACTCCTGCTCAAGTGACCAGAAGCCGTTTAATGGGTGTAATCTCAGGGCTTTTATCCCCAAACTCCACAAAGTTATCATCATGGGAATTCCTGCTGCTATGGTTACACAAAAGGTAGCATGTGCCTTTCACATGAACAGGTCCAGGTGCATACAGGACACCCCCCACTCTCAAGCAGATGTGTTTTTCAAACATGAAGAAAAACATGAAGTTCTTATCCAGTTTCTATGTACCCTTAATTGTTTATAGCTACATCACATCTTTCAATACTTACACCTAAAACCAACATAATGATATATTGCCTTTTACCATTCTATGCTAATTCAAACTGGTTTCTATAAAACAATTGGTGCTATGGTTACTCTCTCCTAGCACTAACCAGCCTAATACAAACTTCACTGACCCCCCTAAATCAAACTGAACTAACTGCACTTCTATAATAAAATGGTTACTTAATTTTTCTTAATCTATACAAACTATTTTCTAAAACCTTATATCTGTAAATTTCTAAAGGTCACATCAAGAGAACCTGTGACCTATACTAAGGCTCCTCAATGTGACTCAAAGCCAAACTTAAATTGTGATCAAGCAAAAGACCATAAGCCATGGGGAATGGGAATATATAAATAGACTCCTAGGTTAGCTGTGTACGTTCTGGTCTCAGAGTTTTCTGTTAGAGCCAGCTGGAGCTTTTCTTGGTAGTTTGTGCCAAATGGAAAAGGAGGGAGGGAATGGGTCAACAGCTCCCGAACACATCCTAGTGGTCTCGGGGTCAATAGCCCTTCCTGATCCCTAATGCTCAGTGGGCCTCCGAGGCCGGCTCCCAACACTCAGTCTTAGGAGGCCTGTTAGGAAGTTGTTAGTTCTGTAGACTCAAGAAGTTAAGAGGCGGGCTCCAGGACAGAGTTGGTGACAGCCTGGATTTAACTCCAAGTCTGCCAGGCGACAAAGCCAGGGCTCTTTTGACCACACATATGATTTGAAACAAATAAGAATACCTTGTCATTCATTCTCTGTATATCCTGTGGTCGGTCCCCTGGTACACCAGGCACTGGAAAAGTTCCCATAAAAACGAGGGAAGGGAGACTGGGCATGGTGGTTCATGCCTGTAATCCCAGCATTTTGGGAGGCTGAGGCAGGAGGATTGCTTGAGCCCAGAAGTTTGAGACCAGTCTGGGTAGCATAGCAAGACCTCGTCTCTACAAAAAAATCAAAAAAAAATTTAAAAAACAATTAGCTAGGCATGGTGGTGTACACCTGTAGTCCCAGCTACTCAGGAGGCTAAGGAAGGAGGTTTACCTGAGCCCTGGAGGACAAGGCCACAGTGAGGAAATCACACCACTGCCCTTCATCCTGGGTACAGAGTGATACCAAAGAGCCAGAGTGACAGGGTGAGGCCCTGACTCAAAGAAGGGGGAAGCGTATGAACACAGACAACAAAGCCTGAGGGCGGGGTATATCCCACAATAGCTGGTGGGGGAGCTGGAGGCCCATGGAGGGAGGCGGAATCCGTCCATGTCACGAGCAGACCACCGTGCCATGCCAAGGCTTGGTTCCCTTCAGCCGAGATTGGTGAGCAGGGGATGAATTAATCCTGTCCGGGTTGAAGACAGTGCCCAGCAGCCAGAGAAGCCAAGTGGGGACAGGCTGGGGGACAGAGCTGAGGCCAAGAGATCCCCTAGAAGGCCAGGTACCTGGCCTGGAGGGAAGGGAGGACGAGTGTCCCTGCCAGAGCAGGCATAGGGGCCTGGAGAGCACAGAGGCCTGCCCAGCTGTGGGAGGAGGCCCACAGCCGGCCTCCAAAGCCCCCAGGCCCCATGGGCGGGACTCTGGGGAGCTCAGCACAATGGAATACAACCACTGGTTATGGTTATGGAGCTCAGCGACACAGGCCAGACATCTGTGACAGCATATTGACAGTGCTGTCAATAAAAGCGCGAGGCTGTGCTGGGCTGAGGAGTGATGGGAGGAAACAGGAGGGGAGACCCTGAGAACAGGCAGGTACAGAGTCTGCCAGGGAGGAGACACCCAGAAGGGCCGCCGTGAGAGTGTGCTTGCTTGCTTGTTTCCGGACAGGGGAGACCGGCACGGGTTTCGTTGTTGCTGTTGTTGTTGTAGAGATGGGATCTTGCTGTGTTGTCCAGGCTGGTCTTGAACTGCTGGGCTCCAGCGATCCTCTCACCTCAGCCTCCCAAGTAGCTGGAATTATAGGCATGAGCCACCACCAAGCCCTGCTAGTTGGGTTTTTTTTTTTAACCTGTACATTTGACATCACACATATAGTTGCAGCAGGGTCTTACAGAGAACAGTGGCAGATGGAGAGCTGAGGTGGGACTCGACCTCCTAATTGGTTGGAGAGGGCTTTTACTTCGTGACAGACCAGAGGGTGCTAAGAGCCAAGAATAGGTGGCGTTTAGGGAAGGAAAGTTGAGGGGGGCGTGCCTTCCCTCCCTTCCTGTACAGGGCATTGTTAGGTAAAGAATGAGAGAAGCGAGCACTGTAATCCTAGCTACTTGAGAGGCTGAGGTGGGAGGATGGCTTGAGCCCAGGAGTTTGAGTCCAGCCTGGACAACATTGCGAGACCCCATCTCTTGAAAAAAGAAAAGGACGAGGTGGGAGGGCAGACGGCAGAGGTAGAGACTGGGAAGAGAGCCAGGTGACTTCTGTCCTTTGAAATGGAACAGGAAGGGAAGGTCTGGCGTCCTGCACTCACCACGGTCCTCTGGGAGAGGTCTGACGTCCCTAGACACCCTGGACAGGAAGGAGGAGGGAGGGGGGAAGTCGGGGAGACCCACTGAGCAGGCGCTGGCATTCAGGGGGGTGAAGGAACCCGAGAGGAACTGGAAAATGGAAGGGTTCAATCATGTGCTAACAGGGGACCCCTGGGCATTTGATGAACTGGATTCAGATTGTAGCAAACAGCTTGGTCTTGCGATTGGTGGCATTCCCCCTTAATCACACATTTAAGTGATAATGACAGATAGTGAGCTTTATCACTTCTGATTCCTGGACTCACTGCCCTTGGAAACAATTTTCACTCATTTGCTCCCTTTCTTTTTTTTTTTTTTTTTGAGTCAGGGTCTTACTCTGTCACCCAGGCTAGAGCAGTGGGTCTCGACCTCTTGTGCTCAGGTGATCCTCCCACCTCAGTCGCCCTCGTAGCTGGAATTACAGGCACACACCACCACACCCAGCTAATTTTCTGGCTTTTATAGAGATGGGGGGGTCTCACCATGTTGCCCAGGCTGGTCTCGAACTCCTGGCCTCGAGCAATCATCCCGCCTCAGCCTCCCAGATCACTAGGATGACAGGCATGCGCCACCACACCTGGCCTTGATGCTTCTTAGAGAGAGATCAGCCTGTACTGACCTGGACCAGAGAGCCTGTTAATACTTAAGCTGGTTTTTAAAAGTCAGCCACGAATTACAGTCGTCCTCCCTGGGGGTACACAGGGAATCGGTTCCAAGAACCTGAGGACACCGATGTAATCTACATGTACTTGGGTCCTGCAGCTGGCCCCAGATGTCCATGGAGAACCAGTCAGCCCTCCATGTGGGCGAGTTTCCCGTCCTGCAAGTCCTGTGATGGGTGGGCCTGTGCAGTCCAGACCCGTGTCACCAGGGTCAACCAGATTTTAAAATGCTTGGATTAGGAAAAGCATTTGAGCGTTTTTATCTAATTTTGCAAAATTATCTTCCCATGAACACAAAAGCAGATGGACTGTGTTGTGTTTCTGAAATGCAGAAGTCGTCCACAGTGACAGTGCTAATGGATTTTTAAAACTTGATCCATTGGGATTTAGACTTGTATAGAAATCGTGTCCTGAAATTGTCATTATTATTATTATTATTACTATTATTTTTGAGTCAGGTCTCATTCTGTTGCCCAGGCTGGGGTGCAGTGGCACAATCATAGAATCACTGTAGCCTCGAACTCCTGGGTTCAAGCATTCTCCTGCTTCAGCCTCCTAAGTAGCTGTGTCTACGAATATGCGCTACAATGCCTAGTTTTTAATTTATGTTTTGTAGAGACAAGGTCTTGCTATGTTGCCCAGGATTAATGATCTTTTAGGAGAATTTTTAAACACATTAAGGAAAAAAAACGGATATATGTTTAGGAGCTAGGTCATGAACTTTTCGGGGTCAATGTATTGGTGATGACCTAAAGTCATATTAGGCCAGGCACAGTGACTCAGGCCTGTCATCCCAGAACTTCGGGAGACCAAGGCAGAAGTTACTTGAGCCCAGGAGTTTGAGACCAGCCTGGGCCACATAGAGAGACTTCATCACTACAAAAAAAATCAAAAAAGGCGTGGTGATACACACCTGTAGTCCCAGCTACTCAGGAGGCTGAGGTGCAAGGATCATCTGAGCCCAGGAGGTGAGGCTAGGGTGAGCTGTGATTGTGCCACTGTACTCCAGCGACAGAGTGAGACCCCCAACAAAAAACAAAAATAGACTGGGTGTGGTGGCTCACACCTGTAATCCCAGCACTTTTGGAGGCAGAGGCGGGAAGATTGCGTGAGCCCAGGGGTTCAAGACTAGCCTGGGCAACTTGGCAAGACCTCGTCTCTACAAAAAAGTCAAAAATGTAACCAAGCATGGTGGGGCATGCCTGTAGTCCCAACCACTCAGGAGGCTGAGACGGAAGGATCACCTGAGCCCAGGAAGTCAGGCTGCCGTGAGCTGCGATCCTGCCACTGCACTTCCAGCCCGGGCAACAGAGTGAGACTCCAACCCAAAAAACCCCAAAAAACTTTTGAAAGTAAAAATAAAGTCCTATGAAAGAAGAAACAGCCCATGAGCCCCTGTCTAAGACCCATCTGGTTTTGTTTCAGCTGCGATATCAGAAGTGCTTGGTGGCCAGGCCGCCTTCCCAGAAGGCCCGACCGCCTCCACCGTCCGCGGACTCGGTGACCAGGAGGGTCACAACCAATGTGAAACGGGGGGTCTTCTCCCTCATTGACACTTTGAAACAGAAGCGCCCCGTCACGGAAACGCCCTAGCTGCGTGTGTCGCCGGACTGTGTGCCGTGTACCTGAAGATGGAGTCGCCCCGCCGACCGTGACGAGCTGGCCCAACCCTCCACCCCGCCGCCACCGCTTCATCTGCAGAGACCTGACCTTCGCCGCACCGTGCTAGACACGCATGCTCTCCCATCTGCCGCCGCCGTGTGCTACAAAAGAAGCATGAATCGTTGTTGTTGCTGTAAGTCACATCCCGAGCAGTGGAAGGCCATCTTCTTACTGTAAATATTGTGACTGTGACTCCGATGTGCGCACACGTGCGCGCGCGCGCACACACACACACACACACACACACACACACACACACACAAGATGTGGCCACAACCCTCCCTGGTGAACCGACACTGCATCCCTGGAGCGAGCCATGCCTGTGTGAGGCTCACTGTCCGCCTGGCTGTATCTGTCCCGAGTCCCACGGGCCTCTACCCCATGTTCCCCATTGGAGCAGACACCATGGAGTCACCGTAAAGAGAGGATGGCGTGTTGGGGTTTTTGTTTTTCCTGGCTTCGAGCCTGTTGGTTGACAGAATTGGCTGCTGGTGCCAGTGGCAGCACCGGCCTGTGGCCTCCTGTGACCCCCGTGCCCTGACACACGGGCACTGGGTCATGTCCGTGGCTGTTTGTGGGATGATGGGAAAAAGCGAAACTTTAAAATGGATGAACAACCGCATTTGAGGAATTAAAATGGAACAAAAAACCTTTCTTTTCCACAGGTTTTCCAACCAATTGTTTTAAAAAGAGACTCCTAGTGCATTTCGGGGGGACCTGAGTCAGATTTCTGCCTTACACTCTACCTGGCAGCTAGGGAGTCCACACGGCCGTTCTCTGAATCTCCCTGTCACCCTTCCTCCCTGCTTTGGTGATCAGCCGACGTGCAACTTAGCGTCGAGGATTTGCCGTTCCTGTCCCACCCGGCACAGCCGTGTCAGCCGCCCCCCACATTTCTCTCCCTTCTAGTCCCCAGGCTGGAGGTGAGCGTCCTGCTGGAACTCTGCGCCTGGCTGGTCTCACCCTGATGCTTTCTATTCGGATGGCTGTGTGTCCGCCACGTGCTGTCGTGGCAACCCATCACATCCGGTGGAACCTTTCTTGAACTGATGTATCTGATATTTGAGTTGGTTGGACTCAGCTAGTTATATTTCAAAATGTATATTTTTTTTCCATTTTTCTTCCAGGAGTGAACATTTTCCTATCAGAGCAAAATTATACATAGGAACACTGGACTATTGAATGCACTTCCCAGAAATCACATTTTCCTGCTTCTGTTTAAGCAGATGGGGAACCGAGCTTAAAGACATAAAACATTTAGACTCTTGTTGACATTGTTGTTTTCAAAGGACGTTGCCAAGGCAACCGGTCTCAGTGTTGGTCTTGTTTCTTCTTTAGTGTCAGAATTAACACTGGCAACATCCGGCTTCAAGGTCTGTCGCTACCCTGCCGTGTCCTTGTCCGAATGGTTTCCACATTCTCACCACATCGGAGCCTTATGATATAGAGAAGGCGCTGGGCACGCTTGAGAAATGAGGGTATGAAGGACCAGGGGGCCTGAGAGGGCACCCGGGTCAGGGAGGGACGTGGGGACGTGCATCAGGGTTTCTCACCCTGCCAAGGCATCCTTAAACCTCCACCCTGGCGCAGCCCAGGACCGTCTCCCTATAGCCTCCACCGCGCTGCCAGGGACAGGAGGCCACACTCTGTACAGCCTGGGCTGCTGGAATTTCAGAGACGACTCCGCCTGTGGAAGGTTCCCTCGACTCGCAGCACTTGGCCGCCAGGGGACACCGTGGGTGACTCGGTGGCCATCTCGGAATCCACGGGTGGGGGGCACGGGCAGGGCTGGCTTGCCGGCACCTCGTGTTGGGACAGAAGTGATCCTGCCTTACGAACGCATTCGACTTCCTTCCTACTTCCGTGCTCGTTGTCTGAAGGGACCGCCGCCATCGCCAGAAATGACAGCCTCCGGGGAGTCCCTCGGTGCCCTGGGCAAAGCTGTTCCGAACTCGGCATCGCTGACCTTCCGTCCTGCTTTCCGTACAGCTGAACTTCCAAATCCTAAACTGGTCATCCACTTTGATACTGGGAACCTCTACCAGACCCCGCTCAGTCTGTGAGGCCTACATCTGTTCGTTTTCAGGATCAAGAGTACTGAGCTAGCTTTAAGTAGCAAACTGACTTATATATGCAATTCTAGGGCGCATTAAGGTGAATGATAGCCTTGACACATTGAAAACTTGACTGCAGACATTTTGTTTTGAAAATGGCATTGCATACAAAATGCACATTAATTTTGTAAGATCAATTACGTTGGACAGTATGTTCAGACACTTTCTGCCATGGCCAAAAAGTATGTATGCAAGTATGTGTGTGCCGTCGGGGCGGCTGTGGCATCTGCCCTGAGCTCTAGGGACCCTTCGGTGAGCTATGCATTCTTTATATCTGTGAGTCGGGAAACAGGCAGCCACGTCCACAATGCCTTGTATGTCTCGTCATGTTTTTAATTAACCTGTTAAATACAGCTTAAGATATTTTTATTTTATTTATTCTATTTTTACTGAAATATACTGCATTGTTGTGTTCATGTCTATTATCGTTGCTGGATATGATCTCACCGTGTATCCAGGCTTCAGTAATCTCAGTGAACTCTACATTGCCTAAAAGGTGGTTTTGTAATGATTTGTAGTCACATTTCTATCGGAATACGTAGAAGCAGAGGCGAAATGCTTAAAGTTCCTTTTATTTTTTCAAAGCAACTAGATAGACACAGACTTGCCACCTCACCTCTGCTCCTTGGCCGCCTAAGGGAAGCGGCCGCCACGCCTGTGGCTGGAAACTGTGCCTCGCAGACAAAAGCCCTGCCTGGTGCTTGGTTTTTACACCTTCACGATTCGTGTGCTCTCATCCACGCGACATCACGCGTCCACACGCCCTCTGTCCCCACCTGGAGAGAAGATCACACCTAGCCCATCAGGACCACTGTCTTTTGTTTGTCTGTCGTATTGCATGAGGAGACATCAGACCCATTTCCATTAAAATAAGTTCTTGGTGATGAGCTGTGGCGCTGCGACTTTTTTTAAAATCCACCTTAGGACGGACACTTGTAGGACTCCTCTGTCCCTAGAAGCTTCCTCCCTCCCTCCTCCCTCGAACGGCGCACCCGCCGCGCAGCGTTCCATAGGTGTTGCCGCACAAAGTCAAGGTTTCAGGCACCACACGAAGACATTTCCATACATGATATTAGCCCAGCTGAACTAACAAGACCAGTAGCCTTTTGGCTGGCCAGGCTTAACCTAGTACATATCTAATACGGGTGTTATGCAGCCAGCAAAAAGAAGTTTACTGAGGCTGGGGGTGGTGGCTCACACCTAGAATCCCAGCACTTTGGAGGCTGAGATGGGAGGATCGTTTGAGCCCAAAAGTTCAAGACCAGCCTGGGCAACATAGCGAGACCTCGTCTCTACAAGAAACTAGCCGGGCTTGGTGGCGTTTGCCTGTAGTCTCAGCTACTCGGGAGGCCGAGGCAGAAGGATCGCTGGAGCCCGGGAGGTTGAGGCGGAGGTGAGTCGTGATGGTGCCACTGCTCTCCAGCCTGCGCAAGAGTGAGGCTCTGACTCAGATTTTAAAAAGAAGTGTCATTTCAGCTTCAGGACATGCTGTGGCGGCAAGAGCATTCCCTGGCCCCCGAGAAGCTGTTTTTTCCAGAAGGAACGCCTGGGTGTCCCTCTGCCCCTGGGCTGTTGACCACCTTTACACACCTCGGTGGATGTGCTGTGAGATTAAATTGAACTGCATGTCCTGGGCTCATTCCCCTGATACCTTAGTCACACACACAAGGAACAGAGCCTTGGATCCAGCATCTGCCTCGTCATTCCCTGTTTAAATTGCTCTCACCTCAGGCGCCTTTGAAATCATGCAGTCATGGAGGGCTCTTCTTGATTAATCACAGCGTATTTCTCCCAGTAAGATCGGGGCAGTCACTTTACGTTTGGAATACTTAACCTGCTCCTGCCTGGTGATCGGGAGGGACACTGGCCTCCTGGATACGGGCCTGTTGGGTCACCACCGGAATCTCGCCAGCATCTCTAGGACCAGGCGTTTCCTTTAGGAACTGACCTCAAAGAAGACCAGAGATGCCCGGGCACTACACCCAGAATGAAAGGTAATTAGGAAACCCAACAAGTCTAGTTGTGTTAACTATGAGGCACTTCAGCCGGGTGCGGGGGCTCACGCCTGTCATCCCAGCACTTTGAGAGGTCAAGGCGGGAGGATTGCTTGAGTCTAGGAGTTCAAGACCAGCCTGGGCAACATAGCGAGACCTAGACTCTACGCAAAACTGAAAAATAATTAGCCGACTGTGGTGGCACACACCTGTAGTTCCAGTTACTCGAGGCCGAGGCAGAAGGATTGCCTGAGCCGAGTTCAGTCTGCGTTGGCTGTGATCATACCACTGCACTCCAGCCTGGGCAACAGAGAGAGACCCCAACTCACAAACAAACAAACTATTAGGCACAGGAAGGAAGGTAGACAGAATTTGCAGTAGGTCCCACGTCTTGTTTGCCTTGCTCTTTCCCTGTGATTTGTCTCTCTATTAAGGGCAGGAACCCTTAAAAAAACAAACATCATTACGATTTCAGGCATTGTTACACAGTGGCAAATAATTTCATTTCTTTTTTTTTTGAGTTGGAGTCTCACTCAGTCGCCCAGACTGGAGTGCAGTGGCCGCTCCCGGCCACCGCAGCCTCGACCTGCTGGGCTCCGGCGATCCTTCCACCTCAGCCTTCCAAGTAGCCGGAATTACAGGCATGCGCTACCACGCCTGGCTGATTTTTTGATTTATTGTAGAGATGAGGTCTCGCTGCCCAGGCGGGTCTTGAACCCGCAGGCTCAGGCAATCCACTCACTTCAGCCTCCCAAAGGTGCGGGATTACAGGCTGAGCCACCGAGCCCGGCTTCAGATTCGGATTTTTATCTGAAATTATTTGCCACCCGCCACAGTGGCAAATAATTTCAGATAAAAATCCGAATTTGCAGCAGGGCGCCATGGCTCAAGTCTATAATCCCAGCACTTTGGGAGGCTGAGGCGAGAGGACTGCCTAAGCTCAGGGGTTCAAGACCAGCATAAGCAACTTGGTGAGACCTTGTCTCTACAATAAATCAAAAAGTAAGCTGGGCATGGTAGCACATGCCTGTAGTTCCAGCCACTTGGAAAGCTGAGACAGAAAGATTACCTGAGACCAGCAGGTCAAGGCTGTGGTGGCCATGAGCATACCTGGGTGACAGAGTGAGACTCTGACTCAAAAAAAATCTGAATTTGCCATTGGAGTGTCCGAATACCAGTAAATTATTTTTGATTTTTGTAGCACTTTAACAAGTTCAAGAACATAAAATGCCAAATAAAAGGTGTCAGTGTCATCAATATTCCCCACAAGAATCTCTGAGTGCCTTTTTTTTTTTAATTCAAGGTATTTTCCCCTTTTGTCTGTACCAAATTGTTTAAATCATTGATCCTATACATCTTGGAAGATTCTCAAAGAAGAAAACTGCAGGTGTCTATCATGAAGGATTTAATTCAGAATCTTCATATACTTAGAAAAAGTACTGAGTGCTGAGATGTGTGTTAGGAGATAGTGAAAATAAGTGACAAACTGTGACATCAGTCATATGCTGCTAAGAGACCAGCAAGACACTCCGAATGATTCTGTGCCAATGAGGGTTAACTGAGCACTGAAAATACGCTTGGAAATAAAAACCTCAGGCCTGCTGCTCTTGGACAGTGGACACTTACAGCCTGGGTTGGGGCGAGGAAGCCAGAAGATTCCCGGATGACATGCCAGCCCTCCACTGAATGGTGGCGTGGGAGACCCCAAGCCTGATAGAGATTTGGGTGGAAACAAGGGAAGGAGCCACATACTGTGGAGCAAGAGATAGTTTTTGGTTTTTGGAATCAGCAAAATAAGCAATTAAACTATTTCTGTACTTTTAAAAAGTAATAATGTATGTGAGAAATTCTTTGGGGATTTAAAATATAATAAGCCTGGCTCAAGAATAAAAAGTCCTGTTTCCTTTCTTCATTGACATCTTAAGCTAAAAGAAGAATATCTTATTGCTACTAAAATGAAATTCACCATTCTTTCTTTATCCTCATTTCAAATGAGAGAATAAAAACAGAATGTCAGAGCTGAAAGAGGATAATATTCCACTAAAAATCATGCCACCTGGACTGGTCTTGGTGGCTCAGCCTATAATCCCAGCACTTTGGGTGGTCGAGGCGAGTGGATTTTCTGAGCCTGAGCCTGCGGGTTCGAGACCCACCTGGGGCAACTTGGCAAGACCTCCTCTCCACAATAAATGAAAAATTAGCCAGGCATGGTAGCGTGCGCCTGGAGTTCCGGCTAGTCAGAATGCTGAGGCAGAAGGATCACCTAAGACCAGCAGGTAGAGGCTGCAGTGGCCATGAGTGTTCCGGCCTGGGTGACAGAGTGAGACTCCAACTAAAAAGAAACAAAAACGAACAAAAAAATCACACCACCTGAATTGAGAGTTTAGGAATCAACACTTCACTTCTGTGCAACTGAATTCTGACAATAAAACTTTAAATTCAAACATGGTGAATGTGTGAACTTTTCTGAACAATAAAGTTTATAGCTATATCTTACTCTAGTTTGTGTCAATTTCTGTTGCCATGATGGAAAAGCTCAGTAGACCCAGAAGTGCTCGTCATATCAGTTCTTGGTAGGCAAGGGCTCACTCATTCAAGTAGAATCAATGTTTACTATGGGAACAGAGTGCTGCAAGATCTTTTAATTGTGCATTGGAAGTGACTCGCCACGTTGGGAGGCTGCATGCCATCTCAGTGGCCTGTAGGTTGTGCGGCTTCACCTGACCCTTGAACAGAATTGGAAATGTGTGTGGGTCTCTCGATTACAGGCATCAAGCCCAGTCAACGGTCTTGCCTGTTCCTTGGCATCACTGACAGTTAGAGGGAAATGTGCTCGTGGTCCTTCTCACAGCAGGGTTGGCATAAACGGTGGGTGAGGAAAGAGGACATGTCCATCCATCGGGTCCCAGCAGCTCTTCCTATGAGATCCAGCTTCCCTCTTGACGGACATCAGATACACTTGACATGCTAGCCTTTCTGTGTCTCCTGCTCAGACACTGCCTGTCATGCTACAAAACTCAAGCCATGCCCTGCTCAGAGAACTGTGAATCTTTCAAACAAAGTCAACCTTGATCGTGATCAACCAAATTCAACAGCAGCTGCCGTGGCTGCAGAACCGGCAGGGGAGGGTGGTGTCTTCCCACACCCAGGTTTTCCTGCAGTTGCCTCTGAGCTTGATGAGCCATCTGGAACTCCAAGTCCAGGCTGAGAATTACCAGGAGCGAGACACCGTCTGACAGCAGGTTCTGCGTCTACATGGTACATTCCAGAACCGATCAGCACTGATCTGTGGAAACCTGAATTCTGCTTTGCTTAGTCCCTACAGTACTGTCTCAATTCCCTGAAAGTAACATCACATGTAGAAGACACGAAGTGACCACAAGGAAATACCAGGCCTTGAAAACAACATCAACCGCTCTTGGCCTTGTGAAAACACAAGACAGTCAAAGCCACGGTCGAGGCCGCCTGAGCAGGGAGGAAGGTAAGCTTTCTTTGGGCCTGTCCCCTTTTCTCGAGAGCGATGGTATGGGAAGGCAGGTGGGCACAAGAGGCTTGGGGTCAACCCAGCGACAGTAGCAGCGCTGAGTGGGCAGCTGAGGCCTGCCACCTTGGGCGCCTGTGAACGGCATGATCACTGGAGGCAGAACGATCTCGATGGGTTTCAGGGCCACCACCCTGTCCTCTGGCCACCGTCTCCTGAAGCTGGTCTGCCGGTCACACGGTCTGGGTGGACAAGCGTTCTTCATCAACGCAGGCACTAAAGGGCTGGGGGTGGGCTTGGGGGGCTTTCTGGTCTGCAAGGACGCCCCCACTGGAGCAGCGTTCTTCTGGGGAAGGAGTGACTTCGTTGCTGTCTCTGTCTGGTGCACACTGGCTTTAGTTTCCCGACTCAGGAACTCCGCAATTCTCATCTGGAGGCCACTGTTCTCCGTGGTGGACGCCTTGGGCAGCGATGTCTTTGACTTCTTCCTCTTCTTCTCTCGTTTGGATGATTTACCCAACTCAATCCCTTCCAGGAGACCCTTGGCTGCGGCCCGGGCCAGAATGTCCTTCACAGACACCGTCTCAGACGGGTCCCGCTGCAATGGAAGAAGCAGTTGCTGAAAGTGAGAGGTAGCAATGGTTGTGGATGTTGCAAACATTTAGCACGATTTCAGTAAAAATAAAAGGCAGCTTAGGCCAGGCATGGTGGCTCACGACTATAATCCCAGCACTTTGGGAGGTCGAGGTGAGAGCACTGCCTGAGCCTGGGGGTTCGAGACCAGCCTGGGCAATTTGGCGAGACCTCATGTCTACAATAAATAAATAAATTAGCCGGTCCTGGTAGCATGTTCTTGTAGTTCCAGCTACTTGGAAGGCTGAGGTGGAAGGATCGCCTGAACCCAGCAGGTCAAGGCTGTGGTGGCTGTGAGCATGCCACTGCACTCCATCTTGGGTGACAGAGTGAGACTCTGACTCAAAAAAAAAAAAGGCATCTTTATCAGACTACAAGAAATAAATTGCTCTGAAGTCTCAGCCCCTAATATATCTCCTAAGTCTTAGCAAATGACTTTTTTACTTAAACTTCCCCATTTATGAACCTGATAGACCCACATAGCTGATTTTGTGTGTGTGAGAGAAGGTACACTGAATGTTGACAAAGTGCTTGGAGAGGCAAGTGGAAGGCAGGAGAAGAGGAACACCCGGAAGTATGGAGAATGGGGGCTGGCTGGGCACAGTGGCTCACGCCTATCATTTCAACACTTGGAGAGGCCGAGGCGGGGGCTCGCTTGAGCCCAAACCAGGCAACACAGCAGGAACTCGTCTCTACAAAAAAGAAAAACAAACTTGTTGGGCATGGTGGTGCACACCTGTAGTCCTAGCTACTTAGGAAGCTGAGGCAGGAAGTCTAGGCTGTGGTGAGCCATGATCATGCCACTGCACTCCAGCCTGGGCAGTAGAGTAAGACTCTGACTCAAAAAGAAAAGAAAGAATGGGGACTGACTGCCACACAGCAGGACTTCGCCCGCCCTTTAGCTGATCATGAATTGCAAACCCATCTTTACCAAATGTCCACTCTTAGGAGGTGATGTTGTTTCAGAATTCCAAAGTACGACATAGACTGGGTTTTTTCCCCCTTACCTCCCGTGTTAAAATAGAAAGAAAACACCCATTGGTAACTTCAGATGGTTCCATTCTGAAAAACTTGTCAGTAGACAGATGGATATCCCTCAAGCAGCACAGCGGGAGGACCGGAGGGCTGAGCCTGTGGGAACAGGGTCACCTCACAGTTAGACGGCTCTTTGCCGAGGCAAGAGGAAAGTAGGTGGCGGCTAAACTCTCTACTATTATGTTTTACCAATCATTTAAATAGAGATTCCAAATCAGAATTAAACTCTGAAGCTGGCCAGGCGCAGTGGCTCATGCCTGTAATGCCAGCACTTAGGGAGGCCCTGGTGGGAGGGTTGCTTGAGCCAAGGAGTTTGAGACCAGCCTGGACAACATAGCAAGACCTCAATCAAAAGATTGGCTGGGCATGGTGGTACACACCTGTAATCCCAGCTACTCGAGAGGCTGAGGCAGGAGGATCACCTGAGCCCAGGAAGTCAAGGCTGTGATGCTATAATCATGCCACTGTCCTCCAGTCTGGGAGACAGAGGTCCCAACTCAAAAAAAAAAAAGTACATTGCAAAGACTTTGTGTCATAAAGATAAAAATCTCTAATCACGAATATATTTAAAGTTTTGGTTTTAGGCCAGGCTCGGTGGCTCAGCCTGTAATCCCAGCACTTTGGGAGGTGGAGGCAAGTGGATTGCTTGAGCCCGTGGGTTTGAGACCAGCCCAGGCAACTTGGTGAGACCTCGTCTCTATAATAAATAAAAAAATTAGCCAGACATGGTAGCACGTGTCTGTGGTTCTGGCTACTTGGGAGGCTGTGGCGGAAGGATCACGCAAGTCCAGCAGGTCAGTGCTGGGGTGGCCGTGAGTGGGCCACTGCACTCCAGCCTGGGTGTCCGAGTGGGGCTCTGACTCCAAAAAATAAAATAAAATAAAATTTTGGTTTTATATTTAATATTTAATTTCTCATTTAATAGTAAGTGGTTCATTCATAAATAATAAATGATTCTATTTCTGTGCTTTTAGAAGTAAAATATATTTAAAGAGTCAAAGCGATTAAACGCTGTTCTACATGAATTAAAATATCAGGAAGTCTTTTATTAGTAATTTTGTCTAGGAGAGGCAGCAACCAGTTGAAGGCTACCAAGGATGGCCAGCAGCCTCAGAAGCCAGAGAGAGCATGAGACAGGGCCCCTCACAGGCTCCGAGGGCAATGACCTTCTCATGTCAGGATTTAGGACTCCCACCTCCAGAACTAGAGGGTCCATTCTTATGATCCTAAGCCACCAGGCTTCAGGTCATTGTTTTGGCAGCCCAGGACACTAGCCCACGTGGCCAACGGAATTTTGCAGGTGACTCACAGGTCCCCCGTCAGTTAACCTCAAGAGATGAGCATTGTCTGGGCAACCCTGAGCTCACATGAACCTTTTAGGTCTGGCTCTAGAGGTCAGAGGTGAAGGCATTTCGAGGTTCAGAACACAGGACAATGGGATGAGCCACTGCTGGCATCGGGACGGAGGGTCCTCGTGGCCCAGAGTGAGGTGGCCTTGCGAGCTCAGAGCAGTTTCGGTGACAGCCAGCAAGGAAATAAGGGCACGCCCCCACAGCCACAGCGACATTTGGAAGTGGACTGGTCCCCAGACCCCCCAAGGATACAGCCCGGCTGAAGACAGAGCCTAGCTGTGCCACGCCAGACATGAGCTAGGTCGTAGGTGTTGCAGCCACCAAGCGGTGGTAAACTCTTAAGCAGAAGTAGAAAATGAACACACACCGGCTCACACTAAGTGGGGAAGAAACGCCAGACTGGTGATGGCAGATGGCGGAGAAAGGACAAGAAGATGGGGAGCACTGCCAGGACGCACCAAGGGGGCTGGGAAGCTCGCGGAGGACTGCCCTTAGGGAGGTGCCGGGGCCTACCCTTCCTCTGAGCACCAAGGACTACACTGGCGCCCGGGTCCCGCAGTTCAGGCCAGGGCTAACAGCAGGAGATGCTGCTGCAGAACAGGGCTCAGTGACAGTGACGGAATTAACAGCATCCTGGGACAGTAGGGACCAGGCCAGCAGAGGAGCCATCAGAAGCCAGGCAGATGTGGTTCCCCGTGACAACAAGCATTCCAGGCCAGAGGTGGCCATGCCACCCCTCTTGCCTGCTGCTCCCTCCCTGCCCTCCACCCTCACTGGGCAGCAGAAAGTCCAGCACACGACACGGCCCGCTGCAGGCTCCAGACTGGGCACCATTACAAACACTGACCGCATCACCACCAGGTGTGACAATGTCAGACAACAAATCACATTCAATCACATCATTCAGTGCTGCAAAGGCTCTTCATGAAACAAGGCATCCATTCATGAGTTTGAAAACCCCACTTGTGGTACCAGCTTTGGGACAGACATATAAACCAGTGGGACAGAATGCAAGTTCGAAGTAAGCTCCTCGGTCAGTGATGGCGCAGTGGCTCAAGCCTGTAATCTCAGCACTTTGGGAGGCTGAGGCGAGAGGATTGCCTGAACTCAAGGATTTGAGACCAGCCTGGACAACTTGGTGAGACCTCATCCCTACAATAAGTCAAAAAATTAGCCGGGTATAGTAGTGCACACCTGTCATTCCAGTTACTTGGAAGGCTGAGGCAGAAGGAGGCCTGAGCCCAGCAGGTCAGGGCTGCAGTGGCCATTGAGCACGCCACTGAACTTCAGCCTGGGTGACAGAGTGAGACTCCAACTCAAAGAAAAAATTAGCTGGTTATGCTGGCTCACGCCTACAGCTACTGGGAAGGCTGAGGCGGAAGGTTTGCCTGAGCTCAGCAGGTCGAGGCTGTGATGGCCGTGAGTGTGCCCCTGCACTCCAGCCTAGGTGACAGAGTGAGACTCCAACTCAAAAGAAAAAACTGTGGGTCTTCAGCCAGGCGTGGTGGCTCAAGCGTGTAATCCCAGCACTTTGGGCGGCTGAAGTGAGAGAATTGCCTGAGCTCAGGGATTCAAGACTAGCTTGGGCAACTTGGCAAGACCTCGTCTCTACAATAAATCAAAAATTAGCTATGCCACTACACTCCAGCCTGGGTGACAAAACGAGACTCCAACTCAAAGTTTGTTTTTAAAAATAAAAAGATGCTTTTTGGCCTTTCTTCCAGTAATTCCCCCAAATGACGAACACAAAGGGAAAAGACGAGGGGCACACAGTACATGCTCTTCAGGCTATCCAGAAAATATGGAGTTGTTCCTTTGGCCACGTACATACAAATCTACAAGAAAGGTGATATTGCAGATATCAAGGGAATGAGTGCTGTTCAGAAAGGAATGCCCCAAGAATGTCACCCTGGCAAGACAGGAAGAGTCCACAATGTCACCCAGCATGCTGTTGGCATTGTTGTTAACAAACAAGTCAAGGGCAAGATTCTTGTCAAGAGAATCAATGTGCATATTGAGCCTTCAAGCACTCGAGGAGTCGAGATAGCTTCCTGAAACGTGTGAAGGAAAATGACCAGAAAAAGAAGGAGGCCAAGGAGAAAGGCACGCGGTTTCAGCTGAAGCGCCAGCCTGCTTCTCCCAGAGAAGCACACTTTGTGAGAACCAGTGGGAAGGAGCCCGAGCTTCTGGAACCCGTTCCCTATGAATTCATGGCTTAATAGATGTCAAAAATAAAAGATCTCTGGATCATAAAAAAATAAAATAAAAAGAGAAGCAATATTCGCTGTAATTTATATGAAAACAGCAAATACCTCTAATATATAAGATATATAAAAAGAAAATAACCCAGTTGAAAAGTACAGCTGGGCTCAGTGGCTCACCCTGTAATCTCGCACTTTGGGAGGCTGAGGTGAGTGGATTGCCTGAGCCTGCGGATTGGAGACCTGCCTGGGCAACTTGGTGAGACCTCATCTCTACAATAAATCAAAAAATCAGCCAGGCATGGTAGCGCGTGCCTGTAATTTTAGCTACTCGGAAGGCTGAGGTGGAAGGATCACCAGAGCCCAGCGGGTCGAGGCTGCAGTGGGCAGGAGTGGCCACTGCACTCCAGTCTGGGCGACAGAGTGAGACTCCAACTCAAAAAAAAAAAAAAAGTACAAATGTATAAGAACATGCAATTTACAATGCAATGGAATAGAATGGCAGTCCCGGTATCCTATGCCAGGTGCTGGCCAGGTAATGTATTCAGCCCCCAGGATCTAATGAAGTCACTGACAGCATCAACCATGCACTTGGGGATATTTAGCGGCACCTTCCCCTCCTCCTCTCCATCCACAACACCCTTCTGCCACTTAACCAAAAAGTGCAACCATTCCCTGCCTTGTCATAGCACCATCCAGGGTGTGAAACAAGAGCAAAACGGCTCCTTCCCCGCAGTAAGCAGAGTCTAGGGAAGGAGTCTCCAAGAGGGCAGGATTCTGCAAAGCTGTGCTCCTCCCTCCCTCTCTTCCTCCCTCCCTCCTTCCTTCTTCCCTCCTTCTCTCCCTCCCTCCCTTTCCCTCCTTTCTTATCCTTATTTCTTTTTTTGTATTTTTGCGTCAAAGGTTCAGTCTGGAGTGCAGTGGCACACTCATGGCCACCACAGACTAGACCTGGGGCTCAGGTGATCCTTCTGCCTCAGCCTTCCAAGTAGAAGGAACCACAGGAGCACCGCCATGCCCCATTAATTTTTTGATATACTGTAGAGACGAGGTCTCACCAAGTTGCCCAGGCTGGTCTTGAACCCTGGGCTCAGGCAATCCTCTCACCTCCGCCTCCCAAAGTGCTGGGATTACAGGGGTGAGTCACCATGCATGGCTCTCTTCCTTATTTCTATATATCTTAGAATTAAAATTTAGAAGTAAATCACAAGAGAGTATTAACATGTTGATTTGAATTAAAGAAGAAAGATTTTTCTGACAAGGTAAATCTAGTTTTGACAATGAGAACAAGTTATATAACAGAGTAATACATTTAGCATTTTTCCATAAATTAAAAAAGATAAATCTGAAGACCCCAAACAGAAATATATTTAAAACACACATGTAATATAATATTCTAGAAATAATATACTTTGCACTATTTAGGCTTATTATGAAAATGTTAGACACTGACTTTAAAATAAAGAACAAGATACATAGTTATTCAAACATTTTTAGAAAGTATGTGAGCCAGAAAGTTTGAGGGCCACGGCGCTGAAACCCCCACCCTGAAGTACGCCACACGACACTGCCCTGCAGGGAACAGGATGCATGCTCAGCTCATCAGAAGAGAAATGAACATGTAATCAACATAAAATCTCATCCTTTCACCCTCAGATTGGTAAAGGGTTGGAAGTCTGATAAATCTCAGCATTTGTGAAGCTGCAGGGAAACAGATTTATAAAAGTACATATTCTGGGCCAGGCGCAGCGACTCACACCTATAATCCCAGAACTTTGGGAGGCCGAGGCAGGAAGATTCTTGAGCCCAAGCGTTCGAGACCAGTGTGGGCAACATAGCAAGACCTCACCTCTACAAAAATACAAATTAAGAAACTAATAGGCTTGGAAGGCTGAGTCGGAAGGATCGCCTGAGCCCAGCAAGTCGAGGCTGTGGTGGCCATGAGCGTGCCACTGCATTCCAGCCTGGGCGACAGAGTGAGACTCTAACTCAAAAAAAAAAACAACAAAAAAACCAGCCAGGCATGATGGCTCATGCCTGTAGTCTCAGCTACTCAGGAGGCTGAGGGAGGAGGATCACCTGAGCCCAGGAGATTCAGGCCTCAGTGAGTTGTGATCATGCCACTGTACTTCAGCCTGGTGACAGATTCTGACTCAAAAAATAAAGCAAAATAAAATAAGAGTGAATATTCTGGTGGGAAATTTGACCATATCAATTAAAACCTAAAATAGATATATTCTATGGTGCTGGAAAAATCTAGAAGACTATAATTCAAACTGTTAGGAACTATTCTATATGAGAGGATTCCATATGAATGGAAACAGTTTTCCTTTTAAGTGAGTGCATCTGTAATGTGTGAGGTTTTTACAATAGGGGCCCAAAACGCTGCCTAGGCCTGAGGTGAGCATCATGGCAGCTAAAGCCCCCATGGCCTGAGTGTTTCAGGATGTTAATGGAAAGACAAGCAACAGGTTGGTGTTTAGATGGGACAGGAAATGTGGCCTTCAACCCCAGGTTCTACCCTTCGGGGTGGTAAGAAGCCACCTAGCATGCTTCCCTAGGCAATGCATCACTTCTGACTGCACCCCAACAAGTAGTTATAAAGCTCTTGGATACACAAGCTCCAATTCAAGCTCAAATCTCACCCCAATCTAGAGTATGAATTGTTCTGTCTTTATGTCTTTAAATATTACTTGTGGTAGGGTTCCATGGCTCACGCCTATAATCCCAGCACTTTGTGAGGCTGAGGTGAGAGGATTGCTTGAGCCCACGGGTTCGAGGCCAGCCTGGGCAACTTGGCAACACCTCATCTCTACAGAAATCAAGAAAAATGAGCTGGGCATGGTAGAGCATGCCTGTAGTTTCAGCTACTTGGAAGGCTAAGGCGGAAGGATCACCTGAGCCCAGCAGGTCGAGGCTGCAGTGGCCTTGAGTGTGCCTGGGTGACAGTGAGACTCTGACTCAAAAGTAAAAAAAAAGGACTTGTGTCTCCCATGCCATATTATAAATTAATTATTAATCATGGTTACTTGAGATAAAATGCAGATATTCCTGCACTTTTTCCATATGATTTTCTTTTCTTTTTGGAGACATGGTTTCACTCTGTCACCCAGGCTAGGGTACAGTGGCACAGTCACAGCACAGTTAGCTGAGAATCGTGGTGTATGCCTGTAGTCCAAGCTACCTTGGGAGGCTTAGGCAGGAGGATTTTTTTTTTAAGTTGGAATCTCACTCTGTCGCCCCGACTGGAGTGCAGTGGCCGCTCCCGGCCACGGCAGCCTCGACCTGCTGGGCTCCGGCGATCCTTCCACCAAGTAGCCGGAATTACAGGCATTCATTACCACACCCAGCTGATTTTTTATTTATTGTAGAGATGAGGTCTCACCAAGTTGCCCAGGCAGGTCTCGAACCCAGGGGCTCAGGCAATCCATTCACCTTAGCCTCCCAAAGCGCAGGATTACAGGCTGAGCCACCAAGCCCAGCTGGCAGGAGGATTTCTTGAGCATACCTGGGCTGCCTCAGCCTCCTGAGCAGCTGGAACGACAGCCATACACCGCCACGCTCACCTCACTTTTGGGGCATATGTTGTAGAGACTGGGGGTCTTGAGTTGTTGCCTAGGCTGATCTCAAACTCCTGGGCACAAGTAATCCTCCTGCCTCAGCTTCCTAAAGTGCTGAGGCAGTGTCTAAAACTGGGGCATGAACTTTGAATCCAATCTATCCAGAAGCCAATCAAGTCAAAGCCCAAATGCCCTTAGCTTTAACAATAACAAAACCAAGGTTGGGTGCAGTGGCTCACACCTGTCATCCCAGAACTTTGGGAGGCTGAGGTGGGAGGACTGCTTCAGCCCAGGAGTTTGAGACCAGTCTAGGCAACATAATGAGACCTCATCTCTACCAAAAAAAAAATCAAGAAGTAAAATAAATAAATGAGTCGAGCATGGTGACGCATGCCTGTAGTCTCAATTACTTGGGAGGCTGAGGCTGAAGGATCACCTGAGCCCAGGAGGTCGAGGCTGCAGTGAGCCGTGACTGTGAGTGTACTCCAGCCTAGGTGACACAGAAAAAACAAAACAACAACAAAACACTAGTAACAAAAACAAAATAATCTCTTAATGTATAAGAAAATGCTCACGCCAAGCTGTAAGGGTCTTCAGAATCCACTTAAAGTTGTAAGAAGTTAGGCTATTTAATAATATTAAGATGCAACAAGGCTGGGTGCAGTGGCTCACACCTATAATCCCAGCGCTTTCAGAGGCTGAGGTGAGAGGATTGCCTGAGCCCGTGGGTTCGAGACCAGCCTGGGCAACTTGGTGAGACCTCACCTCTGCAATAAATCAAAAAAATTAGTCAGGCATGGTGGTGTGTGCCTGCAGTTCCAGCAAATTGGAAGGTTGAAGTGGAAGAATCACCTGAGCCCAGCAGGTCGAGGCTGTGGTGGCTGGGAGTATGCTGCTGCCCTCCAACCTGGGCGACAGAGATTCCAACTCAAAAAAAAAAGATGCAACCAAAGAGTGGAATGTCTTCATACTACTTAGAAATCTTGTCTTCCGCTGTGGTGAGCTGTTTGGAGGAACCCTATCTCTTCTCACCTGTAAGGTTGCACTTTATTCCCAAGGTCTTGAAACGCCAGTGCCTTCTTCACCACCACCTCGTTCTCTTCTGGATAGACAGAGCACGTACAGTAGACAACTGCTTGGGCCTTCGTAACTGCATCAAAGAAGGTGCAGTGAGGACAGCAGCCCCCCGGCAATCCTGTGCAGATGTGTTCTGTCTGCACATACCTGACTAGGAGAATGCCACACAGTTTTGGGGGGAACAGTTTCCCCAGATGCTTGCATGGCTCCCTTCAAGGCAAAGGCCGGTATCAGCACTCTGGCCAGCGAGTGAAGCCCATCTTCCTGGATTGAAGCTGAAAGTGCAGCCAGTGTGACCAGCCTGGCCACAGACATGAAGGAGTAACCCTGCACAGCACTGTGAGCCTGGCGCTGCGGCCCATCGTTTACTGGTCTGATGGGTTTAAACCCCCTAGAGACACGCAGACTTCTGGGAGTTCACGTCTGTCACCCGCTGCTGGGTGGGCCTGGGTACATGTCCCCTGCCGAGTGAGGCCATGCCACCCCCTGCAATTGCCTCACTGGGTCGGGCTTGGAGCACCTGCCACCTGCCAGGCACCATGCTGGTCTTCAGGATGCCAGCAAGCAACTGGACAAGAGCCCTGCCCAAAATGGACTTTCCAGTGGGAAGAAAGAAAATGGCACATAAATAAGCAGGAAGCCGAGAGGGTGCTGTAGGTGAGAGATGCTCTGGAGAGCAAGCAAGCGGGCCAAGGCTAGAGTCCCAGGAGGCCTGGGTGCCAGAGAGGGCATCGCCAACTCCAGGGCAGACCGGGAGGCGAGGGAGGCACAGCGTCTTCTGAAGGCGAGGAACAGCAAGCACCAGGCCTCGACGAGGCCCAGCCTGGGTGTTCAGGACAGTAAAGGCCAACCAGGCAAAGCAGGAGCAGAAGGCAGGGAGGCAGGAGCTTACGGGCCAGCTGACTATGCTGGAAGCCATGTCTCAACGAGATCGCGCCAACTACTGCTCTGGGAACAGACTGTAGAGGCGGGGGGAGGTGGGGAGGCTGGTAGAACAGTGAGGCCACTGCAGTCCTCCAAGCGTGGGGGTGCTGGCAGTGGCCAGATTTTCTGACTGGAGATTGGATGCAAACCTGCCTTATCTGCCAACAGCCCAGCCATGGGTGTGGGAGAGAAGCCGTGGACAAGGCTCGGGTTCCCACTTGACCAGGGGAGGCTAAAACCGTCACTGACTGAGGCGGCGGCCCTGGGTGGAGCAGGTGTCCTGGGAGGATGGTCAGGACCCATCACGGACTCTGTCAGCTGGACACGAGCCTTGGGTTTAGGAAAGAAGTTTGGACTGAAATAGAAAGTTTGGGCTCGTAGAGAGGTGTTTAAACCACGAGACCACTGGGCACGGTGACTCACACCTATAACCCCAGCACTTTGGGAGGCTGAGGCAGGAGGATCACTTGAGTCCAGGAGTTCAAGATCAGCCTAGGCAACATAGCAAGACCTCATCTCTACAAAAAATTAAAACATTAGCCAGGCATGGTGGCACATGCCTGTAGTCCCAACTACTTGGGAGGCTGAGGAGGAAAGGTGACCTGAGCCCAGGAGGTTGAAGCTGCAGTGAGCTGTGATTGTTCCACTGCACTCCAGCCTTGTTGAAAGTGAGACCCCCAACACAAAAAAAAAAGAAAAAGAAAACAAAAAGAAAACCATGAGACTAGGTAAGCTCACCAAGAGATAAGTATAGGCAGAGAAGAGAATGCCAAAGTGTGAACCCTAGCACTCTAAAAAAAAATATATGTTTTCTAACCTATTTTAAATGGTAGTAAAACATATGCTTTAAAAATATTACATTGGTAAAATAATATTCTGTTATTTGAAGGCACTAAGACAACGTTCTTGAAAATGTGCTTCTCTTAGCCAGGCATGGTAGCGCACACCTGTAGTTCCAGCTACTTGAAAGGCTGAGGCGGAAGGATCGCCGGAGCCCAGCAGGTCGAGGCTGGAGTGGCCATGTGCGTGCCACGGCACTCCAGCCTGGGTGACAGAGTGAGACTCCAACTCAAAAAGAAAAGAAAAGAAAAGAAAATGTGCTTCTGGTTCACACTTCACTAGATAAGTGGAGGCTCAATATTTCTAAGACCCACTCACATTTCAGGGCGTGTGAGAGCTGTTCATACTGCTGCTGAGCAAGGACATGAAGCTTGTCTTCTGACGCGCACCCTTGCGAGAGGTCTTTAAGCAAGTCTGCATCTAAAGTGTATAAAAAGAGATACATGCTTGTATATGTGTCACTGTCAGGGACTTTGCATACATTGCTATCATGTTACTTTCCAACCATTTTGCCGACATATGAAGGGGTTCATGTAAAATACCTAGTAAGGCTGATAGATCATATTAAAATGTTGGCTTCAAATTTAAAACAGTAGACTGGGCACAGTGGCTCACACCTGTCAGTCCAACACTTTGGGAGGTAGAGGTAGGAGGGCTGCCTGAGCCCACGGGTTCGAGACCAGCCTGGGCAACATGGCAAGACTCCATCTCTACAATAAATCCAAAAATCAGCCGAGCATAGTGGCATGTGCCTGTGGTTTCAGCTACTTGGAAGGCTGAGGTGGAGAGATCGCCTGAGCCCAGCAGGTCAAGGCTGTGGTGGCCGTGAGTGTCCCACTGCACTCCACCCTGGGCAATAGAGTTGATTCCGACAAAAAAGAAAGAAAGAAAGAAGGAAGGAAAGAAAAGACTCAGAACAGCAAACGTATGTCTTCACAACAGATTAAGAAACAATATCTTTTTAAGTTCTGAAAAATTACTTAACATGTTTCTTAACTAAGAGATACTGAATGCCACTTTATATAGAGTATTTTAACAATCTGTATTATCATCCCTTTTAACATTGAGGAAACCGTTTAAACACACATTAAACATCTTGCCTAAGGTCATATAGTTACTAAGCATCCAGCCAGGACTCTGACTCAGAAATCTGACCAGAGAGCTGGACCTTTGTTTTTAGTTTACCACACAAAATGGATGTCAAGCTGAAGCTTCTTGCCTCTATCATTCTGCCTCTCTAGAACTCCCTGGAACACGACCCCAAGTAGTTATTAGACCATGTGTTTGGCTGTTCCCCATTCCAGTGATATCCCCAGAAGTGAGCTAAACTCCATTTTGTCCCAATCTTCTAGCTGTTCTAAAACTATCCATGACTTTTTAAAGGACTACTTACAGATCACTCTAAAACCATCTCATCACATCTTTAATCCCATCTGAAAACAATACCGAGTTGTTCACAGGGAACAACTTCACATATTACTCAGTGGTTTTAATATTTTTCATATGAAAATGCTTTAAACACTACTTCATCACTGTCCTGTTCCACCGAGTGCCTGAGTCTGATGAAATACCCTTGTGGGGCGGGATTGGTGGCTCAGCCTGTAATCCCGCACTTTGGGAGGCCAAGGTGAGTGAATGCCTGAGCCTGCAGGTTTGAGACCCGCCTGGGCAACTTGGCAAGACCAATAAATCAAAAAATCAAAAAATTAGCCGGGTATGGTAGCGCACGCCTGTAGTTCCAGCTACTTGGAAGGCTGAGGCGGAAGGATCGCCGGAGCCCAGCAGGTCGAGGCTGCGGTGGCCGGGAGCGGCCACTGCACTCCAGTCTGGGCGACAGAGTGAGACTCCAACTCAAAAAAAAAAAAAAAATACCCTTGTGACCTTATCCCTGCTAGGTTTATGACTAACATCCCTGCCTTAGTCACCGGGACAGCAGCCACCAGCCTGCTCTGGCTCTCAGCTCCTCGGAGACACATTTCCTTCAAATGCCCCGTTTTCAGAATTCGGCCAGGCTACAGCACAGTGGCGCAATTATAGCTCACTGCTGCCTCGAACTTCAGGGGGCTCAAGTGACCCTCCCAAACTCAGCCTCCTGAGTAGCTGGGACTACAGGCACCTATCACCATGCCTGGCTGATGTTTTAAAATTTTGTTTGTGTAGAGTCGAGGTCTCGCTATGTTGCCCAACCTGGTCTCAAATTCCTGGGCTTAAATGGGCCTCCCACCTCAGCCTCCTGAAGCACTGGGATGACAGGTGTGAGCCATCAAGGCTGGCCCTGGTCTATGGCCACTTCTCAGCTTGCCTGTCAGCTCTTCATTGGTTTTCAAGACATTACCAATACCTAGAAGATGCTTTACTTCCTTCGCTTTTGTCATTTATATTTTCCTTTTCTCCCCTCCACTCTGGCTTATTTTCTCTGAAGTCCCACATCAAATGGCCTGGGATGAGGCCCAATTACCACAGTTCTGAACTTGTGGTCAGTCTCCTGGCTGCCGTGCTGATTACGGCTGCTGCCGTTTCTTCTCCCTTTTCTTTCACTGTCTACTGTTTTGTCTGATTATTTCTCAAAGTTCACGTAGAAATTTTCTCACTCTACCATTCTCCCATCTGTGTTGGTTATTCTTCTTTTTAACTCTGGAAAGGAATTTTCTTCATACACACACACATACACACATACATAGAACTCTTAACAAATGTGCCTGTCATCCTTGTGCAGTGCCCATGCTAATCTTCTCTGTATGATTCCAATTTTAGTATATGTGCTGCCAAAGTGTGTACAGGGCTTTTTTGTTTTTGTAGAAATGAAGTCTTATTATGCTGCCCAGGCAGATCTTGATCTCTTGACCTCAAGTGATCCTCCTGCTTTGGCCTTCCAAAGTGCTGAAATTACAGGCATGAGCCACAGCGCCTGGTCCAGAAATTTTGTTTTTTGTTTTTGAGTTGGAGACTCACTATGCTGCCCAGGCTGGAGTACAGCAGCATGCTCACAGCCACCACAGCCTCGACCTGCTGGGCTCAGGTGATCCTTCCACCTCAGCCTACCAAGTAGCTGGAACAACAGGCACACGCTACTACCGGCTTATTTTTTGATTTATTGTAGAGATGAGGTCATACCAAGTTGCCCAGGCTGGTCTGGAACCCATGGACTTAGGCAATCCTGTCACCTCAGCCTCCCAGAGTGCTGGGATTACAGACTTGAGCCACCACACCTGACCAGAAATTTTCTATAGCAAGTCAAAATAAGTATAAGCCCAGTTAAAGATAGTATATGAGGGAGAACCCAAAAAACCCAGAATTCATTTATCAAAAATTGTGTAAGTTTAAACTTGTCACCTTCAAAGTCCTCTCCATTTGATTCAATACACCTATCGAGATGCTTTTTTCCACTGCTCAAAACAGTTTTTGAACTCATCCATTTTGATGCCTTTTAGTGCTTCTGTAGTTTTTTGTTTCACCTCTTCCACATCAGCAAAATGGTTTCCCTTTGAGGCCTTTCTTATCCAAGGAGACCAAAAAAAAAAAAAAAATCCCTTGGGGCGAGATAGGGTGAATAGTGAGGGTGGGGCACAGGGGTCATGCTGTGTTTGGTCAAAAACTGCTGAACACTCAGCGCAGTGTGGGCCGGAGTGCTCGCAAATCACCCACCATGAAATGGGCAAACGTCGAAAAGAATCTCAAAAAAGAAAAACTGACTGAAGCCGAGCACGGCCTCTCACAACAATGCTAGCTGAACCACTGATGCCGATGGCTCTTAGAACTTACCCAGTGGGAGACACCTGTACTACAAGGGACCCACCCTCCAGAAGATAATTCTGGGTATTTTGGTCCCCTCGTCGTTCAGTGGAAAGAGAATGCACTCTGTGGCCTGAGTCTGAATCCCAGCTTCCCTATGTACCTCCCACATGGAGCCCTAAGCAGCTGCTTCCTTTTTCAGAGTCTTGGCTTTCTTCTGCAAAAAAAAAGAAGGGTTCTCAGCACCATCCTCACCAAGTTGCTATGAATGCTCAGTGACAGTGCATGTCCACGACCTGGAATACTGGCTGGGACACGGCTATGTTCAGCAATTGCTCCTCTTTCTGTCCTTGCTGGAAACAGCAACAGCAGTTGCCACATTCTGCATGTTGGCGGGGTGTCTTCTCTTCCTAATACTCGAGTAGCCTTATCTATGCCTTTCGAGATTAACAAGGAATAAGAGTAAGACTCGGTTTCAGTTCATTTGAGGCACGCAGAGTGATTGACAGAGTGATTGCAAGTGCTGGCCTCACAGGAGTCTGGGTGCATTTGAAGCCGGTCTCTGACACTAACCAGTCCAAAGAGTCCAGGAGACCCCATGACTTCTGAGCCCGAGATTCCTTAATCATAAAGTGGAGATAGCAAGTCGCTGCTTCACTGGGTTCTTGTGAGGACTGAGTGAGATAATCCCAGAAAATGCTCAATTCAGGGCCTTCTGTACGGTGCTCAATAAATATTAATGTTATGTAATAAATAGTTTTAAATTTACTAAAGAAGACAAGAAAATATTCCTAAAATTACCATTTAGTCTGAGGTATTCTTACCCTAAAATATGCATATCGGAGGTCAAAAAGTTTTGAGTTCAAAATAATCTAATTAAGACTGGGCAACATAGCAAGACCCTATCTCTACAAAAAAACACAAAAATTAGCTGGGTGTAGTGGTGCATGCCTATAGTCCCATCTACTCAGGAGGCTCAGGAGGGAGAATTACCAGAGTCCAGGAGTTTGAGGCTTCTATGAGCTGTGATTACACCACTGCATTCCAGAATGAGTGACAGAACAAGACTCCTCAAAAAAAAAAAAATTACAGCCGGGCTCGGTGGCTCAGCCTGTAATCCCGCGCCTTTGGGA